CTAAATCCTACTCATCTTTCAGGGTCTAAGTCAAGTGTTGCCTCTTCTCAGTGCCTCCTGGCCTCAGCCACCCCTCCCAGGAGGGGCAGGAAGGGCTCAGTCAAGACCTGTGTTGAGTGACTGCTTTACCACTTCCTACCTGTCCTCTTTTCTTTCTTCTGGAAGGAAGTGCTTCCTCTCTTCCGCCCATCACAGGAGAAATTTCTTTCTGGCTTCTCTGAACTCCTGCCTCATTTTTCCTTTCTCGTATCTCCTCCTTCTTCAGCCCTATAGGTGGAGAAACTGAGGCTGAGGAAGGGAAGGGGAAGCATTGTTTTCAGGAACTTTGGAACAAATGTGGAAAAGGCTGAAGTTGATCTTGGACCACTTCTCTCCTTCCACCCTCTCTACCCACATCTCTGCCCCGCCCCCCGGCCTACTTGGTAAGCATCCCTCCTCCCCAGCTGTCTTGACCTCCATGCAAGTGGGAAGAGATAGAGGTCCCAGCCCAGCCTCTAGCTCCCTGTCCTTCACCCCCATTCCTTTTTGTTGTTTTTGTTAGAGACGGGATCTTGCTATGTTGCCCAGGCTGGCCTCCAACTCCTGTGCTCAAGCAATCCTCCTGCCTCAGCCTCCCTGGTTGCTGAGACTGCAGGCACAAACCCCCATTCTTGTGGGGTGCTCTTACAGCAGGTGTTAAGCCCCTCTAGTATGCTGGTGCCAAATGTACTCTCCCCTAAATCCTTATTAACTGGTCCCATTTTTGTATCTGGTGCTGGGTGAATGGATTTATCAGAGCTGCGTTCTGCTAAAGATTCCTCTCTTCCTGCTCTTAGCTGGCATAGCCCCAGCCAGTCTCTTCTCTTTCAGACTGCTAGGGCAGGAAGAGGGTGTAGATATAAATGTGCTGTGTACCCTGTAAAGCCCATGATCGGAATGGGCTGATTATATGTGCGCAGACCTTATCAGACACCCTTAGGGCCAGGCCTTTTGGAATTTAGAAAAATATGGCACAAATACCATATATTATAGGAAGCAATATCCCTAGGAGGCCAGGTGCACTATCCTGAAAACGAATACTCTCCCAGGGATTCCTGCAGTGAGACAGAAAGAATCTCCCACCAAAGGAGCTAGATAGCAACAGTGAATAGCCTTCACATAAAATTTTGTTGCCAGATAAGTTTGCTGAAAACTTATGGACAAACTTGTGGTTTTCAGCGTGTTTTGGAATCGCAGATTTAGCCAACAGATTGCTTCAAGCCAAAAGCTTGAGAAAGTTCCGGAGGGGTAGGAGGATTCCTGGAGACTAGGTTCATACTGGTCTGTAAGGGAAGGCAGGTTCTCAAGGTCCTTGTCTGTTAGCCTTCAGGGGTTTTACTCATCCTGTCCTAGCCTGGCCCTGAGCCTGGGCTGGGGGAGTTTCCCAGTGCTCATACCTTTGAGATTTAATATATCCTATGGGGTAAAGGAGAGGGGCTGAGGAACCAGGACGCAGAGTAGGATTGACTTACCCTAGGATTCTTAGCTCAGGGCCTCAGCCTTGACCCCAGCCCATAACCCTTCTTCCTTAGTGCCTGAAGGGTGACTTATGACTCTCTGGGGAGCCTGGAACCACTGAATTCTCTTCCTAGTCAGCTCTTCATCCTGATAATGTCCTGCCAAAGGACAGTTATTGTTTATATAAACTCCCCATCACAGACATTTCCATCTAATGGCCTGGTTTAAGAGAAACCAAAATTGAAACCCCTCAGACATAGAGGCTGAGGTGATGGCTGGGTCAATTCAACACTAGGCTATTTATCAAGTGTTTCAGGTCTGCTAGGTTCTCCTAGGGGCCCCTGTACCTTCAAGTTCACTTTGGTTTACTTCAACAAGTCCTAAACTTTAGGATTTTCAAAGACAATTGCTCTGTCCTATTAGGATTCTTTTGAAATGGAGAAGTTGAAGAATCAGTGGGTGGGAAAGGAAGAAGTTGTTGTGCCTTCCCAAGAAGACCAGACTAAGAGCTGGAAGAAAGAATCTGATGCAGCAGGAGGGAGTTAGGTCAGATAACAGGAAGAACAGCTCACGGAGGTCTGAAGCACAGGCTCAGGATTCTGTATTATTATTTTCTCTAATACTACCTGCATCTTCCTTGCTTTTCTCAACTCTCCCCCTGCAACACAGAGATGATGTCTTCTTTTCCCTGGATAAGCCCTTGCACATGGGGACTGGCACAGGGACAGGTGGTTTAAAATTCTCACTCAGCTTATGCCACCATCAGGCCAGCCACCTTTAAAATTTCAAAATGAGACCCAACCCAGCATCCTTAGGGAGATAAGCCCCTGAGAGCCCGGCCTTTGGTCTCACTTATGGGGAAACCAGTGCTTAGAGAGGCTAAGGGGACTCTCCTAGGCCACACAGTTCTCAGCACAGAGGTCTGGGCTGGCTTCCAGCTAGCTCTGTGCCCTCTTCCCCTAACCCCAGCCCTTCTCAGTCAGATCATGGATCTGAGGGGCAGTTGGTTTGCTGAAGATGGTGGGTGGGAATTCAGGGCTTAGAGCCGCTTGTCCAGCCCAGAGTCCTTGCTGTGTGACTCCTTTAGTTTACTTCTGATCACTGTCTTCCCACAGTTGCTGTTCCTTAGCTCCCCCAGGGCAGCGGATACCAATGGAAGTTCCTTGAGGAGTGTATATGTGTGTGTGTGTGTGTCTCTGTGTATGTGTATCTGAATGTAGTCTCTGTGTGTGTGTATGTGTGTGTCTGTGTATGTGAGAATCTGTCTTTGTGTGTCTCTGTGTCTGTTTCTGTGGCAAGCAAGGCAGCCATGACCCAGCAGAAAGGGAGTAAGAGGGAGAAGAGTGTTTGGACAAGCAGGGCCCACAGGTGAGGGCCCATGGCTAAGCACCACGGTGTTGTGCAGGTATGGGGGTCTGGGGTAGCACAGGATGGGTTGCTCAAAAGAGCTAGGCCTCAGGCAGGGAACCTGCAAACTGGACGAGTGCACAAACCCAGCCATCTGCCAGCCAACAGTGTTTCTTTTTTTAACCCCTGAAAAATATAGCCTGCCCAGCCTTCTGTGACACAGCTGGTGGGGGGTGGGGGGGCGGGATAATTATGGACAGAGTGAAGATAACACTTAGGGGCAGGGGATGGGAGAGTGGCTCAGTTAGTTTTGGCTTGCAGTAAACCATGACCCATGTTTTCAGTTTCATTCATTCATTCATTCATTCATTTAACAAAAGTATATTGACTGCTATGAGCTATGATGCCATGGCACTCTACTGAGGGTGACAAAGTGAGACTCTGTCTCAAAAAAAAAAAAAAAGGTATATTGAGGATTATGTTCTGGGTTCTCCCACTTATGGGCACCTAAATACAGGACTGAGTGCTGTGCAGTCATACATTATTCCATTCCTTTTACATGACCACCTTTTAAGTAGCCCAAGCACTAGTCCACATGGTACCTCTGAGTGAATCAGAAAAAGGAATACTGTGTTTTGGACAGACAGCCTCAAGGCAGGATGTGTCACCTGTCAAGACCAAAGTAGGCTGAATTCAAGCCCGCCCTGCACTCCGTCAACTGGGTGGCCTCTTGCAGTGAATAATTTGCACTCTATACCTACAGTCCTGCTTTGAGGGCAGTGTCATAACTCTTGTTTTACAGATCAGAAATTGAGGACCTTGAGCACCATGACCCAGGCATACACACAGTCTGGTTTAAACCCGGCCAGGCTGTTCCAAGGACATAGCCTCTCCAGGAATAACTTGAGTACCCTGCAAGCCTGGAGCAGTGCACACTTGGCTGGTCAGAGCTGCTGGGCAGCAGGAACTTTCATGGCCTTCGCTTATGTCTCTATAAAATGTGTCATGCTGAGGTCCAAATGGCCACAGGGTGCGCTCCTCAAGGGCAGAATCTTGTTCAGTCATGTGTGTATTCTTGGGGCCAAGAGTGGAGCGGAATCTTGGTCAGTTGCAAAGAAAGGAAGGAAGGAAGGAAACTTGAATGAATGAAAGCAATCTGGGCCCTTCCATCAGCAACTTCAGACTGATTGGGCAAATGAGATACATATGGGGGCCATTAAACATGACAGCAGAGAGAATACACAATTTACCAACATTTATTCATTTATCAGACATTTCTTGAGCTCATACCGTGGTTCAGGTGCCAGGCTCTGGATGAATAATGGTCAATATGAAGTGGTTCTGGCCTGTTGTAGTCTGGAGCTCTGAGGTGATGCTGAGCGGGTCTTCAGAAAGGGGCAGGCACATTGGATAAGGGACAAGAGGGAGAACATACAAAACAGTAGTCCCTGTTATTCCCAGACCCTCCCAGACATTGCCTTGGCCTATGAGCATGTTATCTGTAGAAATTAGGGGTTGACCTGTGCGGGTGGCCGAGTCCCTCCAGTCGTGGGCATAGTCCAGCACAAGGTGGCACTCTGCAGGTCAGCCAGGGAGACCTCTGGCCAGCCTCTCCAGCTCTGCCCCCAGCCACTGTCTCCCCCCAGCTCCTTGACACAGTGTTGTGCACCCTCCCAGGGATGAGGACAGTCACACATTATGGCTTTAATTGAAGCCACTTCTGCAGTCTGGGGCAAGATGCTCTTGCAATCCTAGGAGGGCTCAGTGGCTCTTAGCTTCCTCCCTGCTTGCCTCTAAGGCTAACCCTCTCCTGGGATTTTTCAAGCCCGCTCTGGGAAGGAGACCTGGGCCCATGGCTGGCTGAGGGATTGATCTTTAGGCTCACTGCAGCCCGCCAACCAGGCCACCTGTTACACTTTGCAAACCAGTGCTGGAGGCAACCAGTTAGGTGTTCCCCTAGCCTGGCAGGGTCTTGGGGCGGTAGGGAGCTCAGTGGAAACTGTCTCCCATAGACTGTGAGACCTGGGGCAAGTGAAGTCGCCTCACTGGGCCTCAGTTTCCTTCCTTGTTATATACTTGAACCAGGAGCAGTGGGGTCTGCAAATTAACATGCCACACGGGGGCATACGCCACGTGCGTGGGGATATGCGAGAAGCGGCTCTGCGGGAGAGGGTTCCAGTGACGCACCGGGGTTGGAGTAGTGAGCCCCCTTTTGGCCCTGTGCTTTGCTGTGCTTTTCTGGATGTGTGTCGGGAAGCTATGTTCCCTGACCCTCGACTTCTGGGGTGAGGAGGGGTCCCCACCATATCCTCGGGGTTGGAGATCCGGCATGCGCGCTGGGAAGAGGAAGAGGGGCGCTTTCGGGAGAGGGCGCCGGCGGGGTAAGGTGAGAGGGGAGCCAGTTGCGGGGCTGGTGTAGAGGGGCGGCGGGGTGCTGCGAAAGCCCTGGCCTTCCGGAGGTGGAGGTGTGGGTTAGGGGGTGGGCGCCCAGGTGCTCGCTCTTTAAAAGGCCGGCGGAAGCGCCGCGCGCTTCGGCCGCACTTTCAGCGCAAACTTGCCGGGCTGGCCTCTCATCTCCTCCGGTGCGGCTGCGGCTGCGGCTGGGGGCACCAGGGCTGAGCGGCTGCGGCCCCCTCGCCTCCTTGCGCTTCCCGGCGCTCCCGCCCCCTCCTGCAGCCTCCCCTCTTCGCATCTTCCTCGCTCTCCCCGTCTCTTGCTCCCTCTTTCGCTTGCTCTCCAGCGCGCTCTCTAGCTCGCTCTCATTTTTTCCCTGCTGCTGTTGCCGCTGCCGCGGCGCCGCCGGGCGTCCGCACCTCGGTAGGCTGCGCTCGCTCGTCGGCTCCCGCTCCGCTCCCTTCCCAGCCCGGAGCCTCGGCCGGACTTAGCTCTTCGGAGCCGCCTTTCCAGCTCCCTCCGGCTTGGACGCCCAGGCTCCGCGGCAGCAGGAGCAGGGTTTGTCTCCGAGCCCAGCTCGCTTAATCACTCTTGCCTGAGCAGCAGCCGAACGCGGTTAGCTGAGGCTCCGGCTCGGCGGCCGCCAGCTCATCCCCGCTGCGTCCGGGACTCCAGGCGGCTCCGCACCGGGCTCGGTCCGCAGCGTCAGCGCCGCCCGCTGCGGCCAGGGCTCTGGGCTCCGCGAAAACCGAGCATCCAGCCGCCGCCTCCCTGCGCCCCCGGGGTGGGCAGACACGCAGCCGACCCCTCGCCGAGGCTTAAACCTTGCTGGCGCGCGGTGAGTTATGGCTCGAGGGGGACAGGCAGAGGGGACCGTGCCCTCCGGCCTCCTGGGGCGCAGACTGCGGCGGGCTTACGGGAGCACTGGGAGGTGGCCTCTGGCAAGCTCCCGCGCTTGGGGTGCCTGTAAGAGGGCCGGCGCCCTAGGTGCCATAGAGCGCGGGACCCAGACTAGAGGGTCTTCCCTTGGGGTTACTAGGGTCGCCTTTCCGGATGTTCGGAGGGAGGGAATGGGGCAGCCTCTTTTTTGCTGGCCGGGGCGGGGGGGGAAGTAGTGTCTCCGAGTATGGGAGATTCCACCGGATGGAGGGTCGTGCCAGCTTTCAGGTGGGGGCGGCGACATTAGTGCTCCCCCTTCGCGGAGAGGCAAGACATGCGTGGGCGCGGGGCATTATTTGCACCTCTTTTCAGCCGTCTCCCGGCAGGGGGGCAGCATCAGCCTCGTGCGCCTCGGGCTCTTTCCCAGACACCGCGTCCAGCTCCCGAGCCTTCCTCAGCGTCGCCTTCGCCACCGGCAGGCGCCTGGTAATCGCTTGCCCGCTACCGCGGTGGGTTGGGGCGGCGCCCTGGGTCTGGGGTCTTCTTATGTTCCCGAAACTTAAGGGTCAGGTTCTCTCTGGACACTCAGACCATCCCTCCCCCGGACCTTGATGAACCGCGCGGCCGCAGACGAGTGGAGTGGCGTGTGTATCTGTGTGCGCGCGTGTGTGCGTGCGTGTGTTGAGGGGGTCCCCGCTCCCGGGTCGGTCTTCCCTGGCGCTCGCAGGTGGAGGCGCCCCTCCCCGCGTGGGGGCGGGGCCGGGGCCGGGAGGTGGAGGCCCCGACTGCGAGCAGCGCCCCCGCACCAGGGCGGTCTGAGGCTGAGCTGAGATGGGGCAGCCGCGGCGGCGGCGGGAAGTCTTGAGACCCAAGTCAACGAGCGCCCCCTGCCCCTCAGCCTCTAGTGACATTCCACACTTTCAGTCCTTTTGGACGAGGCGCCTTGCTTTTTTCTTTCTCCCCTCTCAGCATTATGCCTACCCCTGGAGCAGGAGAAAGCTGGCTTTTCAGGACACAGAGTGAGCTGGGTTTGTCTAGCTGGGGCACCCGAAGCCACGTGTCTATGAGAGTGGTGGCTGCCCGTCTGTCAGTCTGGCAGAAAGCCTGGTGTGATGGGGAGGCCGTGTGTGTGTGTGTGTGTGTGTGTGTGTGTGTGTGTGTGTTTTTCCCAGCATAGTCCCTCTCCTTTTCCGTTCCCAGATGAAGGTGGGGCTCAGGGCCGGGAGGGAGGCCAGTGCTCCAAGAGTCTCCAGACTGAGCGTCCAATCTCACAGCCTGCTACTCTGCAATGCTCAGGCACATCTCTAGGCCAGCCCTTAATGGAGGTGAAAAATATTCTCAATCCCATCTCCCCACGCTCCCAGGATGTGTCCTGGGTTTGCCCCACTTTCCTCTTGATCTGGGTGGGATGCCTGGGCCCACCCAGGAGTGAGATGCTGGGAGGGATGCAGCCTGTCACTGCAGCCCATTTCCCCAGAGCCTAGGTAGAGGAAGAGCTTGTGAAGGCTCGAAGCAGCATCTGCAGAGAGTTCTCACAGAGGAGAATGGCAGTTGGGGTCCTTATGTCTGTATCCTGGCCCCTGTAAGACCACTTAATCAACATTCTGTCCTGGGAATGGAGGTAGGGCTGGGGCTGAGGCCTTTGAAGATGGTGGCCCTGAGCCTCTGCTCCCTTCTGTGAATTAGGTAACCACTGCCTTCACATCCCCTTCAACTTTTGTCTTTTAGATGTAAGCTTTTGTCCATCTGCCAACACCTTCTCATCTGTCTGGAACAAAAATACTCAAAAAGTCACCTCCCCCTTGTGAGGTCTTAGCACTTCATGGTTTTTGTGTTTAAGAGACACTCTGAAAAAAAAAAAAAAAAAAAAAAAGAGACACTCTGGAATATTCTCCTAATGATTTTCGGGAGAGATGTTGGAGGAGGGCAGGGTGGGGTGCAGCCTATCACTGAGAACAGGTCCTATAGCCAGGCATTGTGGTGGGCACCTGTAGTCCCAGTTACTGGGGAGGCTGAGGCAAGAGAATCACCTAAGCCCAGGAGTTGGAGGTTGCTGTGAGCTGTGTGATGCTGCCACGGCACTCTACCGAGGGTGATAAAATGAGACTTTGTCTCTAAAAAAAAAAAAAATAAGAACAGGTCCTGAGCAGGTAGAGGGGAGGTGGAGGCATGTTAGGAGTTGTGCTGCTTTCTCGGCCTCAGTGGCCTTGTATAGGCTGCTTGTCTCTCCCTCTACCATACTTCTTCCCTCTGCATCTGGGTGGCTTCATTCTGTTGGAGGCGTGATGTCTCTGGGAAGGAGCATTTCACACAGCAGGCAGGCAATTGCAGGTGTGTGGGGAAGCAGTAACCAGTGTGCTAATGAGAAGGATCAGGGGTCTGGGCCAGGCTCAGAAGGGCTCTGCAGTCCATTTGTTTCCTGAGGGAACCACAGTCCATCCTCTAGGAAGCTTGGCCATACCTGTGCCCCCCACCCTCTGCCGCAAAGGGCCAGCTGGCAGGAAAAGATGGGAGAGGGACCCACAGGCTCCCAAGGTTCATAATTACAGCCGATAGACATGTCCTGTCCCCTAGACAAGTATGGAGTCGGCAGCCCCTAATTACCACCCACCCCAAGACATCTGCCCACCCCTGCTGTCCTCCTCTGCTTGGCCTAGAACCCAACTTTCCAGTGGGCCCTGCTGGCAGCCCAGGAGAAGGCATGCAGGAAGCTGGCATCTGGGATCTGGCCCCCAATACCAGGGCTGCTGAAAAGCTGCTGGCTGCCTGGGCCCACCCAAGGGGAGAGGTTGAGGGTGGGCTGGAAGTGGGCTTGGACCAGTGGGCACCACCTTTCTATCACTCCCACCTAGCCTGATGGCTCCTAGAAAGAGTGAAGAGGACTTCTTTATTGAGTGTCACTTCCGTCCTAATTAGTAGGGGACTAGTAAAAATTTAGAGGTTTCACTGCTTTCAGTCCTTGTAGAGTACAGGCTGCTTTTGCTCCAGTCCTGTGAGCTGTTTCTCCTCTCTGTTTACTGTCTCTGGTCTTCCTCCCAGCTGAAACTGAGGCTGGTAGCTCCTCCTTCCCAATCGGTTCCTTTCTCCCTGCCAGGCCCCCAGTCATAAGCTCTGGGGGCTCCTGCCTTGGTTCACCACTACTCCCCTCCACCTGGCTTGTCTTGCCTGAGCCTGCTCCTGAAGCAGAGGCGTATAAACGGGACTTGCTTAGAGGAGGTGAAGCCTGTGCAGCTAGCCCACCCACTGCCCTGCCCACCTGCCTCCTAGTCCACAGGCCTGAGAGACTGCTCCTGTCTGTTTCTCTTGGCTTCATGGAAAAACAAGCACTACAAGGACAGTAAAAATCACCCCTTAAATTAAAGCTGATGATTCCCGTCAAAATGTTTTATGATTAACTTCACCATTTAGCAATCTCGTGTCAGCAGTGAGGCATAAATATATCTGTACACATGTATATTAAATAAATTGGGGAATGCAGTACATAATGACATTATCTGGACCCCATTCAATTAAGGTAGATATAATCTGCTGTAATTGGAAAATACCAGACCATAATGACAGCCCATGGTCATTTTGGGGCCGAGCCATGCTGATTAGCAGGCCATGGTATCTAGTTAAGCCTCTCAGTTTTCCTGGAGCAGGCACTGGCCACTAGTTGCCTATGATGGGCTGTGATGACCAAGTCCTAGGAGAGCTCAGTGGGCTGTCCTCACAGGGCTGGTCTACCTACACTGGGACCAGGAACTCTGGGTTCTGCCCGGTCCCCCACACTCAGGCCTCCTGGCCATCCCTCTATCCCTTAGGATGACAGAAACTAGCCCCTGAAACTGTTTTATGATTTGGGGCCATGACTTCTAGTAAAAACTCTGTCATTGCTACAGGGTTATTTTTAGTTTTAAATAGAGAAGTAAAGATTGGGGACTTGACCTGGATTCTTAAGCTTTTGGTGTGTGATTGCTTCTCAGATATCACTCACTGTCCCTTCTCAGTGCCTGGCCTCAGTGTGGCCCAGGGATGGAAGTCTCACCCATGACCATGGTTA